TTTCATCTGCTCTACAGCAGACTACTTACCTTAGGTAACCTTTGACTTTCATAAGTTTTTTTTTTTTGCTTTTTCTAAAATCTTGTTGCTTTTATTATTGTTTTAATATCATATAAAAAGCCAAGTATTTTGTTGAAAGAAGCACTCCTGATGTATATGGAGGATATAAAACGATTTCTCAACAAAATTGACCTCTCAGTGGCAAAGAAAATTGCTGTGGAAGACACTTTATTGCGTAGTCATATCTGAGGCTTGGATCTATGGAGAGTCTCACTCCACTGTCCTCCAGCTTTTCCTTATAAACCACAATGGCTTACAAATGTCATCCACAATAGTCCAATAAAGATTAGGAACAAACATTGTCCTTACATCGATGAGATAAGAAAGATTTAACTGCAGAATGCAGTGTATAACAACAGCTCATAGGACTTGTTCTTGAATCAGAAAAAGAATAGAATTCAGATTATATTTGTGTGTGTCTAGAATTTAATTGAGATGATCAGTTTATTTTCTACATAATGTTTGATCAGATGCTTGTACTACAGAGCTAGATAAAAAGACAGAAAGGAAACAAATTCTATCAGGAGAAATCAAGAAGACCCGTTATCTACAAGGGTGTGCAGAATACATCAGGAAATAATTCTACCCTGAGCGCTGAGAATGCCCAGTTAATAAAAAAAAGATCAGCCATTCGCTAAGAGAAAATAATTGTCTGTATCTATATATTTCAAAGCAAAAAGGCAACCACATCTCACACTAAGTAGGACACATTAAAATAAGCTTTAATAATCTTTATGCAGAAGGAAACTAATCCATTTTCAGATTATACAATCCACAGTAATAAAAGAAAATCATCAAACTAAAAACAATTTTAGAAATAGCTGCAGATTCTCATTTAATTAACATGCAACAGATCATATATTTATGAGGAAGTCAAAATATTTAGGAAGCCTATAATCCTGTAAACCTTAATGTGGTATAAAAACAACAAATAAATGCAAAGTGTTACTGTTATACATGCCTGCCTGATCAATGGTTTTCACATATTGATCTATAAATGGAGTTGACAGCCTGTGTTGGCTGCACATTTTCCAAGCAGTGCTATTTTTGCACAAAACCAATACGGGCAATTACCTTTGTTTGAGATGCCAAGTCTTATCAATTCAAAGTGATTTAGTGTCATTTTAATTAAATATCAGGATCCACTTCAGGACAATTTACACAAACAAAGCTTCAAACCTAACTATAAGCTTGATTTGAAGTAAACATGGACAAGTCTTACAGTCTCATAATATTTCTCAAAAACTCTGCTAAACAGAAGGCGTATATTTTTAGTAGCAATTTTTATGCCTGCCTTTTTGGCTAGCCACAACTTTGGCAAGTATCCTATAATACCAGAAGAAACAAAAGAAAGTTGTTTCCTCTTTTTCCTTATAATATATTAAAAAGAAACATGAATGAGCCCACACCATTAATGGAAGCGAAAGGAAATGTATGTGTTAATGTTTAGGAATGGTTCAAGATAAATCTTTATCTGAACACTAATAGAAAGATATTTCCCTGTCCAAAATGGCCATGAATGAATTAATGCAGTTCTGTGAGGTTTACAAGATGGAAATGGTGAATATTCATACATGTTGCTGCTTAAGCTACCAGCATTAAATGCCGAAACTGCTCCTCCCTGCAAATCCTCGGTCTGCAGTTTCCTGACTTCAACTGCTTAAACTCTTCATTAATATCTGTTCTAAAATATCTACTAGTCTGGGGCATCCTTCTTGCAAATAACATCAAAGCCACATTAAACTTTTTGCAATAGCTATTTGCTGGATTGCACATTAACCTTTCCAGCCCTTAAAGAGGCACACTTCTCTTGTTCCCATTTACTTTACACTCCTGTCTGCTTCTGTGGTTGGCACATTCGGGTAAATTGCAGCCCATCTTTAAGTTGGCTTGCTCTGGTGCTAGGCTCACAACAAATCACCGAGACCAAAGAGCACTCCTTCCCACCAATCAGAGGTCTCCAGATGTCTCTCATAGATAGGAAATTTTCTAGCTAACCACGTCCTCCCTTGTCCAAATTTCCTACCTCTCCAATATTACCCAGGTAGAAAAATGGCCTCTTTGAATTTTGAAAAGGCATTGATCTTATTAACCACATAAAAATGATTATTTGGTGAATAAAGAAAATGATGCATACCACCAATAAAATGGTAATGGGGTATCAATACTTACTTTATTGAAATGCTTCCCTGCAACACTTGAGTAATCAAAACTTTTAATTTAACAAGTAAAGTCACCTATGTTTGCAGGGATTAGGGTTGATAAATGTTTATATTGACATTTCTAACTGTTACTCCTAAATTTAAAAACCAAATAGGCACTTATCACATATTTGGAGAATTTTGTATTATGTTCTGAGTTCATAGTTATATCAAATATATAATTAAAAATAATAAAAAATGGATTTATGAACTAATGTCAAAATTATATAACTGATTTGACCCTGGAACCTTCTATAATTAGTTAAATTGTTATAAGTAAAATATCATAGCCTTATGTTATTATATACTCCAATAAGTCCATATTAGATTTATATAATTAGCATGCCAGTGTGTGTATATATGCAATGCATACTAAATAAGGTGCATAGCATATATGTAGTCTCTAAGTACTCTTATTCTCTTCATGTACAGATTAAATGTATGAGTCTCTGTTACAACAAACCCTGCTACCTGTGAACATGTGCACACATTTTTAGTATACATCTTCTATTTCTCCTAAGTTCACAATTCACTCCCCCTTGACCTCATCTCAACCTTCAAGTTCTGAAAAATCAAGCTCTTAGTTTAGCTTGAGCAGATATCTTTAACAGGCTTGTTTGAATAAATACGCCAAAATACTTTACATTCTGTCAGTATCTAGTCAGAAAATTGTGCATTGAAAAAGAGATGAAAAGAACTGAGACAGAAAGAAAATTAGCGCCATGGCGGGCTCTCAGTACGCATCTCTGAGCCAAGTTTTCTCGGCAAAATGACATATCCTCCCTGAAATACCCTTTTTATATAATTAGGCACTAAGCACACATAACCAAAGTAACTTTCATTTTTGTTCCTTATCGAGGAATACATATTGTCCAGGCTAAGAATGAGGAAACAAAGCTGTGATAATTATAGCTAATTTAACTTTGGAAAACTCTTATTCTCTAGTAGTCCAGCATATAACCCCCGAACTAAAGTTATGTAACAAGGTAATATCAACAATGAGAAACTGCATGATAAAATCCTGCCCAAAAGTGAAAAATGCTAATTTTCTCTCATTTAGCAGCTGGATACAGAAATGCTCATTAGTTTTAAGAGGGTTAATCCTTTTAACTTTTGCATATTGATATGCCAATTATGCCTAATTGTACAAGAGGCATCAGTCAAGGTAATAGTGCATAAACACATGAAAGTTATTAAGTACATCCCAACATGTAATAAAGTAGGTGTTAATTGGTAGCTGAGTTCTGCGGGCTATTGAGGTGGATAATTCATTGAGAGATGGATCACTTGTAATTTCTCTCCATAATTCCTTTTGCAGTCTCATGCTGTGATGTTTTCATGCTTGTCAAAAACAACTGCGGCATAGTGCCTTTTGTTAAACACAGCCAATAAAATATGTTAGGCATCATTAAATATACTTAACTTTTAAACTTTTTCAAAGGTACAGTTCTTACTGATAATACATTATAGAGATTCCAGTAATTTACTCTAACCACTGCCTCAAGTTCATAGTTGAGGAACACGTAGCCGCTTCAAAAGTAGAGCTAGAGCTGTCACTGTTGTGCCTCCCAGCAGACAATGCTTTTAAATGAGGAAGTAAATAAGGAAAAATGCATCTCTGGGTACCTTATCTAAGGATGTATTTCTTACTCTTAAAATATAATCACTGGCTTCCTCATGCTAAATTTGCCTATAATACTGAAGAAGGAATGTTTAAAATCATATATTTCTCAGGTGCCTGAGATTATTGTGGGTTAATTTTGCACTTGAAATTTGAGTGAAAAACAGGGAATAAATATAATTGGTAACATGCTACTCAGCAAGTTTATTTCATTTAATAACTCAGTTAGGGAGCTGAATATTTCATAGGCCTCTACGATATTAACAGAACGCACAATTAATAGCTCACATGTTTCTTCAGGATGACTGGGAATCGCAGCCTGTCCCTAGCTAACCTATTTCTCGCTTTTGCTCTCACTGTGAGAAACAAAATAGATCTGGGGTCCAAAAGAGTGGCTAACATTGCATAAATAATTTTGCAACATCCTATGGCCTCAGCTGCAAGTTACCACCATTATGGAAGAAAATTAACCAGAGGAGACTCATTGCAATCAGTGTGTTTAGTGGCTCAGGATGTGTGCAGGGGCAGGGACACAATTGGCACTATAGTTCATCTCTAACTATTTTATTTCAAATCTTCCTAATGATACATTATCAAGACAAAATGGCTTCCTCTCCAAACCTTAAATCACCACACCATTTCAATCGTTTAGACTCGTTCCAAATCAAATGCTAATTTCCAATACCATACATTTCTGGAAGATTTTAAGAAACAATTTTTCACATTTTTTAAAGACTATTTTTCTCAGTTCATTCTTAGCTAATTTTAGCCTCTGGCTTTTCAAAGTGATATACTATATTTGGAAGTGCAAACACCACATGCTAGCATAACCTCATTATTTTTATGACACTGAAGCATGATAGTGGAGGCCCTTAAAATGAGTCAAAGGTGCTCTTCAGTCTAGCTCCAAATCCACTTTATCACTCTGGATTAAGCCCATCTCTTCTCTCACAACTGGGAATATCATTATGACTGTAAGTAGGCAAGATAAATACATTACAAAAAAATAGTTTTCTCATGCACATTAAGAAAACAAATAAAACAAGGCTAATTTGTGTGTGTGGCTTTTTAAAAAATTCTGTATTAGGGCACTTGGGGTATTAGGAATATTGACTTACGGGTTCAGTGACCTTCCCAGCATCGGTGAGGATCATGGATTTACTTTGGCTCAGCCTGTCGTGGTGGCTGTTGGCATTTTTGATTCTCATCTGCACAGGTCCAGTGCCTTGGTGGGTAGGATTCAGTGTTTCCACAGAGGTATCTAAATTTGTAGATTTCTGCATGTTACAGTGTTTTCCTGATAAAATATAAAATATAGTATTATTCTAAATGTACTTTATCATGAAAAGCTCTTGGGGGAATGCACACCCTTATTAAGCAATAAGGTAATAAATGAAATGAATAGTCTCCACTTGTCTGGGTAGTAAAGAAAAAGGTCATTCCTTTGTAAATTTTTTAATCAATTAAATTATGTAGGCAGTACTGTAGATGCCAGAGGACTTCAGAGTTCATAGGCAGCATACCCATACTCTGCGTAGTTCCTATTCCATTGAGGAACTAACAGCAATATAATAGAATCTCCCTTATATAGAGCTGATATTGCCAACAAGTCTTCTTTAGGATACACAATTTTTTTACTCATATTGTTGTCTGTTACCTACCCCATCCTGTTCCACCTCCACACATGACCACCAAGACTGTTTTGGTGAATATACCTATGTCAATCAAGTCAAATTTCAGCCAGTAGAAAAGAAGGGCATTAGAGAAAACCAAACCAGTACCCCTATCAGATAGGCTGCCTTGCTCTTATTAGCATTGTGCTCAGCCCCAGCACTCCCCTCATAATTTTCATGGGGGGAATTAAAATGCTTTTGTCTATCACCACCTGCCAATTGAATAAATTCAGTAGCTTAGTTGGACATAATATTTGCAAAGAATATGAAGAAAAATAAAATCAACACCATTTATTTATTTATTATTTATTTACTTATTTATTTTATTAATGGGCATATTTAAAAGAGTGACAGTGGAGAAATAATAATTTGGGAAAAATAGAGACAACTAAACTGTGCCAGCATCAGTGGGTGGATTGGGAGGGCTTTAGTTGTTCCCCCAAATCCATAATTCTTTTCAACTGTTCCTCCCCATAAACATCACAAAGGGCATATAATCTCATTTAGAAAAACAACTGCAAACACAGCTTCTAAGCTTCTGAAAACAGATCCCCTTGCAGCCTGATGGTTGTCTGCATGTTTCACCCCTGTAGACATTCCAGAGCTAGCCTGGGCATCTGTGTAAACATTAAAAAAAGTCACCAGTTATAGAAGTCAATGAAATCCAAAAGGAGTATATTTTAGGACAACAACTCTATTTGTTGGTAACCCTATGTCTGTTGAAGAGGTGATGGGGCTTGAATTATGGTAATGTTCAAGGTAAGTGGACAAGAAAATAATTAGGAAAGAATGAAAGCATTTTCACAGGAGGAAAAGTGTTACCTTAAAACTGATACCAGTAAGTCAATTAAGTTATAACTTAAAAATAAATTAACATTTATTGAGTATGTATTATGTGTCAGGCTCTGTGTTCAGTGGTTTAATCCTTGCAAAACCTGTGAAATAGACATTAAACATATATTTGTAGAGAAAAAAAATCAGGATCAAAGTGACTAGTGATTTTTCCAAGGATGCTGGACAGAAAGAAGTGAAGGAGTATGCATTTTCCTTTCCCCCAAAGACCCAGTCGTCCATCGACAGGTGAATGGATGGGCAAATTCTAGTTTATCTGGCACAATAAAATGTTGCTCAATAATAAAAAGTAATGACATATTGATGCATACAACCACATGGATAAATTGCAAATTTTATGTACAGAATGAAAGAAGCCAGGCCAGATTAAAAAAGTACACGTCGGCCACTTATGATTTCACTTACATAATATTCTAGAAAAATGCAAAGTAACAGTGGTGGAGAGCTGATGGGTTCCAGGGATTTTACTGGATACAAGGACACTTTGGATGTGATAGATGTTTTGTCATCTTGATTGTGATGATGGTTTAACAGTAGTAGTGTACCTATTTTAAAAATAATAACAGTACATTTTAAATACTCACACTTTACTTCAGTTGTACCTCACAAAGTTGTTTACAAAAATGTTTTAAGAATTCCTTCACAGATTTATTTTGTTCATATTTTCATTTTCATGTTTCTATGAGTGATGTGTTAAAAAATAAAAATTTATTTAATTGAGAATAAAAGAGTGCCTTCAATAAGATTTGAAACAATAATTTGAATAAAAGAAGACTTTGTTCCCACAATTTCATAGAAATAAAATGACAGCTGCTTTGCTGAGAAGAGTTGAAGAAACATCAAATCTCTCCACTACAATAGGCACATGGTCCTTACCTCTGTATCTAAGTAGAATAAGATATAATTATATATATATAATTTTTTTAAAAAAGTAAATGCAATCACATGCACATAATTTAAAGTTATTTCTCCATATAGCCCAGTACATAATAATTTTGGTTTTACTCTGTGTGTGAATTATTATCAAATTTTTAAATTTTTCTTAGCCAAGTGAAATTTATTTCAAAATAACAAAGCAAATCCATGAAATTTTGACATTTATGAAAATGCTACCACTAAAATCACGAGTTTTTTTCAGGGTATAATTTTGTGAATTGAAATAAGGATGAATGAATGAAGGAGTGAAAATCTAGAAACTGTCATTGGAATGGAGGCCCGGGATTCATACTAATTAGTTTGGTTACATAAAAGTGCCTGTTGTGACTTCAGTGGCTGTATTGTTTCAAATGTGCACCTTTGTGATCTTGTACAAGTCAATGACCTCTGTTTTATCGTTGGAAAAAAAATGATAGTGGAGATAGGGGCAGCCAAGAACACAGGTGTGACCTGTGTTGTCCTTAACATTTCTGATACTGATGTGTGTAAAGTCGGAGCTCACGAAGTATTAGTGCAGATCTACAGAGCTCAGTAGTTTTAGGCAGACAAGCAACAATGTAATACATGGTTCAGTATGAATCCATGCCCCAGAATTTGGGTGGGGAGACATTTATAATTAAACATATAATTTTTTTTCTATAAAATTATGGGTCTCCTGTGAGTTCATTCAAAGCTTGATCTTCATATTACTCATTAGATTCAAACTCTAAGGATGCTGTGTTTGTAATGCTGGTTGCTGAGGCAAATCGCTGAGGCCGAAGCCACTTTCTTCTGACCGAGAGCATGAAGCCACTGTATTTACATGGCCCTGCCATGTGCCATTTATAGGACATGTTGCTTCCTCAAAGTCTGTGCAAACTGCACTGTCAAATGAACATTTGCATTCTCATATTGATTGCACAACCCACCCGTACTTTGCCTAGTGATATGTTGCCGTCAGAGGGCTGCATTACTTAAAAAGCCTCTTATCTGGCTTTCCCTCCTGATTTCTCGGGGACAGCCTTCAGAAAACGTTTTCAAAATCTCCCTTCTTTAGATCTTTCTGTTTGGCTGATCTCTTCCTCTACTACAGGGTTAGCATCATTTTTCTTACTTCGCCCTCTCCTCTATCACTTCCTTTCCCGTCTGACCCCATTTTACATTTTGTTGATACTCCACTGTCCTTCACTTGTTCTCTTTATTGAGCTTCCCTTGTAATTTGTTCTGCAATAGCAGTAACTTGGTATTATCATATAATTATTCTCATATTTGCAAATATTTCCTGGTTTCTAACTTTGCAGAACACAACATTGCACTGAGAAAAACACAGAAAACAATACAAAACCTCTTCTTAAAGATTTCTTCCAGCAGAATATAAATTATCCATTCAATATTTATTGAGATTCTCCTAAGTGGCAGCGCTATATTAGAGGATGAATATATATATATATTTTTAACCAAGTGTCTTACAGTTGTTAGGGTGATAGAGAAACAAGCCATAATTAAATGGGAATAGAGGTGTGTCTAGGTTCAGAGAAGAGCAATGGCATCAAACTCAGGTGGAACTGGGAAGTGGAGACAGATAGGCAGCAAAAGATATCAGCCAGTGCTGGAGTTAAGTCAGAATAGGTTGGGCATTTCAGGCAAGTGGCTCAGCAATGCAAAGGTATTCAAATAACCTGAGATTATAAGGTAGATATTAAAGTGTGTTATAAAGAAAAATATAGTGGCAAGGAAGTTCAAGGAACAGACTAATGATGGATTATATTTTTTAAAATAGCATTTATCCTTGGTGTGTGTGAATCTGATGATCTTGCTAGCCTTTCAATGGGCTGAAGGATTGACAGAAAACTCCACTTCATCTAATCTAGCCAGTGCTATAAGGGGCTGGTGTTCTAGTCACTTTGAAGGACAGAATATGTGGAGAGGGCTTTCCTTGGTATAAAACCAAATGTCTTGTATAGATGATTTGAGAGCAAGGCAGAGAGAAGCAGTACCCTCCTGCACAACTGAGGGAGGTGCAAGAGGAAGGGGGGAGGACACAGGAAGAAGGAAACCTGATGGACTGAAGCGACGGCTGTGCTAGTAGCTGTGAAACTTGTAATTGCTATGCTTGTGGGTTCAGAGATGATTTATGCTTTTCCATCCTGGTAGGGACCACTCATACAAAGTGGATACAGCTGGTTATAGGCCAAATTTTGCAAGTTGTATTTGGTTCCCTCTTGCAACCCTTTCTGTTTAACAACTTTCAACTTCTCATTTTCCCTTCACCTACCTCCTAACACTCTTTTTTCCCCTCTACCAGGTACCTATGATTCCTTTCATATTTTGTATATCAAAGCCCCTCCTGTAGCAAGTACTCAGGCCTCATCCACAGAGTCAACATTTCTGAAATTCCATAATCCATTTTCCCTTACCAAATTCTTGAAATATACCCATTCTCTCCATGAGTCACCTGGGTGTTTGTGACAGAGTAATGTTAAATGAATTGACACAATATCATAAATGATTAGTCAGGCTTCCCCTTAACTCCTCCCAGTAGCATTTATCTGAATCTCAGACTGGGATGTCCTGTAGTTATGCGGGAGGAATATCTTGCAGAAGACCAGCTTTGGTCAGTCAGTGCCACATACAGGGGAGGTAACATTTGTGACTAAGGATAGGCTGTTAATTAGCATTCTAGTAAATGGTGCTCCCTGGAATTGTGCGATATGGTGGCCCTGCCATGCTGGTCTTATTTTTGACTCTTTATGAAAGGAGGTTCTAGCGGAACAAGTTCCATTATGAAGCCTTCCGAACCTCAAATCAAAAGAAACCCTCCCACCCCAGGGTTCAGTCAAGTACATATGTTCCTGAATGTGTTTCCAGGAACATATATACAGAGTTCAGGTTGTACTCAGAAAGGCAGTGAAGAGCTCCAGTTTGTGAGTCTTTCCATGTTATTATTACAAGAATATTCACAGGGGTTTGAAATCATGTTCTATTATTCTATCCATGTTTTAATTTTTCAATGACCTTCAACTTTCTAAATTTGGTAGAATATTGTAAAATCAGTATTCATGAGTATTTCTATGCAACTTAGTGTCAGCAAGCATTTTGTTAACTATAAGTCATATTAACTTTAAGTTTCATGTGATCTGTGTGACTATTCACAATTTCCCTGGTTCTTCCTGTAATATATTATCTGCTCATCATCATCATCATCATCAATTTTACTCATAAAAGATTGATGCCTTCTGCATTTATATTCTTACAAGAGTCACACAGACCCTTGGTGAATTACTAATGAAAATATTGAAGAATTAGTTCATTTTGCATGTGTCTAACATAACCATTGATTTTATAAAACTTTCCAAATAAATACCTCTGAGTTAAAAATTATAATGTAAATCACTTAAGACTGGCGTAACAACTTCTCTAGACTTCCTGATTTTGTATGTACCAAGAGAAGAGCAAGAATAGCTTCTGATATTGCACTAGTTCCACTTTCAATACTGTTTTAAAAACAGGAAGCAGCGATGACAATGCACTTCGTAAGGGCCACCCAAACTCTTGCTCTGCTCAACAGACTTGGTTCTGTGCCGTTCTGGGCCCACGTCTCCACTCTTACTGCAAAGAGCCAAACAGGGGTGAATGTGATAGTTCATCTAATCAAAACTGCATTGCTGGTCTGTCAATTATTAGCTGCACTCTGTTAATTACATTAAGTCTCAGCAGGTTGCCCTTTTGAGTTAGAAAGTAAATTTTTTTAAAGATTTTATTTATTTTTATTTATTTTTAGAGAGGGAAGGGAGGGAGGGAGAGAGAGAGATAGCAAGAGAGAGAGAGAGACAGAGAGAGAGAGAGAGAGAGAGAGAGAGAGAGAGAGAGAGAGAGAAACATCAATGTGCGGTTGCTGGGGGTTATGGCCTGCAACCCAGGAATGTACCCTGGCTGGGAATCGAACCTGGGACACTTTGGTTCCCAGCCCACGCTCAATCCACTGAGCTATACCAGCCAGAGCTTAGAAAGTAAATTTTTAACATCTCTTTTCTATCAATAGCATTAAAAGTAGAAGTATATTAAGAATTTTTTTAGCTAAGGGATACTGAATACATACTATGCTATATCTCCATGATGCAGAGCAAAGAAAACCAAAGCTCAGAGAAGCTCCCTCACGGTGCTACAGACTGTTGAAAAGTAGTCCTGGACAGGACCCAGGGCCTAAACCCCAAACATCCTTGCTTTAGTCATAGACCTCCTGAGTCAAGTGGAAGCTGTGTATGGGAAGATAAGGTAACAAGAATTCCAAAGGAAATCTCACAGATTAGAGGTTTAAAATGATAATAGGGTAGCCATGTTGGGTACATGAGACTTTCTGTTTAATCATTTATAAATATGCCTTGTGCTTCCTGACGAAACAATACAGACTAAATGTTGAATATATAAATAGAAAAGATATGGAAACAAGTTAATGTCAGTGGACATAGCTTAGCAAAGCATTACCAATAAGAACATGTCTTTAACCAAGTTTATTTCTTATTTAAAAAAAATACATGTAATTCACCCTGGCTATAGTTTCTAAGGACCAAATGAACTATCATATTTCATGATAAGTTAGAAGCAGAAAAAAGAGCAGTTCATTTTATAT